TCAAAACACATGCTCCTTCCTGTTTTTCTAACTTCGCTCCAGTTTCTGTGGTCTCAACCAGATTTTTAACTCCACATTCGAAATTAACCTCCACAGAACTCTTAGAATACTCTCTATCCAATGTCTCATCGGGAGTTGCAGAAACAAAATCTCCAGAAACATGTGGTTGACATTGGACTGAAGATTCTGCGATACCTGCACTCCATCTTCTTAATATAGATTTATTTGCAGCAAGGGAAATGCTTGCTACTGTGCTTCTTTTCTGAGTATCTGACGTCAGATCCCTTTGTTTGCTTTCAAAAAGATTAATTGCATCTTGAACAGACATTCTCTGTATTTTACTATCAAGTTCCTTGGTGTGTCCATTAGATCCTTCTCCTTCACTACTATCAGGGGTTACATCTCTAGTTGAAACTTTTTTTTCTCTAGCAGAAAACTGATTAAGGCTTTTAATGGTTAATGGCATAGCCCTGCGTGGTCCTGTCCTCCCAATTTGAATCCTCCGCATTGGAGATGCTGATCGCCTAGGTGATGCAGATCTTACAAGAGCTCGACTCCTTTCTGCAGATTTTATATCCTCCTCACTTGAATCAGATGACTCCTCGCTTTCTGTCGAGCTTTGTCGCTCAACTTGAGCAACTTTTGCAGGTGAAACACCATATTTAACTGGGGTCTCTGCATTTACTGGATTCGATGTGTATCGAATTTTATCTATCTTGCTTTCATTTGCACAACTTAAAGCACAAGAAAATGAGGGCTTCTCACCATCTATAGCAGTCTGGCCATTTTTCGAAGTCTGTCGAGTTTTATCTATCTTGCTTTCATTTGCACAACTTAAAGCACAAGAAAATGAGGGCTTCTCACCATCTATAGCAGTCTGGCCATTTTTCGATGTCTGTCGAGTTTTATCTATCTTGCTTTCATTTGCACAACTTAAAGCACAATATAATGAGGGCTTCTCACCATCTATAGCAGTCTGGCCATTTTGATTCAGTTCTAACAACTTGCACAGAAGATCTCTGCAGCAGCCAATTAACAACATGAATTTTCATGCAAATTCCATTCTCTAACATTTATCTAATCAGCTTCTTAGAGGACATTTATTTTTTTACAGAAAGGAGTATTGCAGAGTCAAGTTCAATCTTTCGAAGGAGACTCACTTTAGATATTTTGCTCCAAAGTTCCCTGAAAATTCTGCTAAATCATGTATATCCTTACATGAGCAAGGGGCACCAGCAGCTTGGTTAAAAGCCATCACTAGTTCCCTTCTTAAAGCTGTGAGCCTTGAGTCCATAGCCCGCAACAGTTCATTCCTGGAAATATGAATTTATAATAGCTCACTTAGGTAAGCCAGTGCAACCACTAAAAATGCAAGAAACAAAGAGAACATACTTTGAAGTGTCCGATGAGGCAATCTGGATTTCAGGCTGTTGACATGCAATATAAATCATGTCATGTGCCAGGATGATTAATTATCAACAAAGATATGTAAAAAAATATATAATTAATATTTAGAAAAAAAAATTATAGAACTCGGAGAAAAAAAAAATGTCCAAAAGAATAGATGTGTAGAAAAGTAATTACTTCAGATATTGATGCCATGTTGATTGGGTTGTGACCATCTGTCGAAAAAAGAAAGGTGACCATCAAAATCCTTTAAACTGTAAATTGCAGGGGTTTTAAATGGCAACTCAGAAACCAGTATATGCATGGAGAATGGTAAAAAACAGCAAGAGACCATATAGGTCATCCCCTTACCTAAGTCAAATCCTTTTCTTAGCTGCTCAGTTCTTAAAGTTTTGGAGTTGGTTGTTTGATAGAGTATTTATGCAGTCACTCCAGCTGAAGAGCTTAAACCTTTGGATGGTTAAAACTTCTTTTTATTTTGGATCGTTAAAATCTCTCTCTCTCTCTCTCTCTCTCTCTCTCTCTCTCTCTCTCTCTCTCCCTCCTACGTTATTGTTTTTCGTATTCTTATTCTTTTTTCTTTTTTCTTTTTTCTTTTTTATATGAGAAATCTTACCAGGGTTTTTTTTATCCCATTCTACCATGACTAACCTGGACAGTTAAAATTTAACAAGGCAACTTTCTTCATCTTATCAAATTCGTTTTGGAGTAAATGCACTTCGCAAGTTTGACAGGAATAAGGTATTTGACCTGAATCATCAACCATTTTACAAACAAAGGTAATAGCATTGAAAATAGTCTTCTTGTGAAAGAAAATTACATCATTAACTATGTGGCTGGGGTTTTATTTAACCATGCTATTTATTAATGATTTCACATTCATAGACTAATAGTCTTCTTGTGAAAGAAAATTATATCATTAACTATGTGGCTGGGGTTTTATTTAACCATGATATTTATTAATGATTTCGCATTCATAGACCTCTATTCAGCATCACCATTATGCTTCAATAAAGAACAGGGAAACGAAACATATCAAATAAGCATAGCGAGACCAGCACTTATCAGCATAGCCTAGATCCTTATTATTGCCAGTTCTATATTGAAGATATTATGGAAAGAGATGAATCGCAGAAGTAAAAGTAGTACTTTGGAAGTGATTACTCCAAGAAGTCTATATATTTGCTTAGGGCATCCTTATTTCCAAAAGAGTGATCTTGATCAAGGGCATTAAGGAGTTAGCAACATGAAAGACAAACTTCAAACAGATCACAACACTTAGTGTATGGTAAGCCAAGCTGCCACCAAAAACATAAGACTTAGTAAAGCTTACCTTTCTCCAAGCTTTCAAAATGATCTTCACGGCCCTATAATAGGAAAATGTTTATCAATAAGCATCAGCATACATCCAAACAGCTTACAGAAAAATAATAAGTATTACCTCGCCATAATGTAAAGAAAGATGAAACTTTCTGTCTTCCTCCAACTGACATATTTCACCTTCAATGACTTTAGCCTTATTTACCAAATCCATTGAATCAACAAGATGAAGAAATCTGAAAACAAAATAAAGGCTTACAGCAATAGGAGAAACCGGCACCCAATGACGAACATAACATACAGGATTACGAGAGACAAGAAGATATTAGGAGATAAAAACCTATTAAAAGTTGACTTTGTGAACCATGTGGCACCATTGAGATTTCCTGGTGGCTGGATTTTGAATGAACCATTGGATCCGTTGTTAAATGTGTCTTTTGCACTGGGTAAATGTTGCAAGAGGTGCTCCAAATGCCCAACAGCTAGTTTCTCTACTTTATTTTCACCACAAACATATGCCTCATACCTAAAACATCCCCCCAAATTTTGAAGAAAATCATTCATGATATATGTGTGTATATATATACACACACAGAGAGAGAATGAGAGAGAGAAAGAGATACACATACACATAATGCACAATGATTATGTATTGGATGGACATCAGAGATGAAACATGTTTAGGAAGAAAAACCAGGACATTTGGAGAGGAAGAGAGAACAATAGGCAACACACAGACATACACATAATAGAAGATGATTAATACTGGATATGAATAAGAAAATACATGAACCTGAATTTCTTGGCAACAAATAATAAGTGCCACATTTTAAAATTGACAAGGCACTGAACAAGGGGCAGCAAAGTACAAAATTACATGAAATGCTACACTGTCATTAACTTGGTGAGACGTTCCATGGCCAAAGTATTACATCTTACAAAGTTTTTACTAAGATGTTTCAAGAAAATAAAAGACTCACCTGTTTAGCTGGCTAGAAAGGTTCATCTTATAATAAAGAAAAGTCTGAACAAGTCCCTTACATAAATGAACATTAGATACCTACTCAACAATTTGTCAAAAGGAAGAGCACAAGATTGAAAGGTGTAGTTCGGTTGTTTGACAATGTTTTCTCATTTACAACAATGATGATGAAGCATTGCATACTAATATTCTGATTCTATTATCTGCTTGATAGTTTGTAACTTGAAAACCAACAATGAATAAAAAATTAGTGCTAACAGACAACCAGCCCACCTGTTTTGATCAGAGAATATCTGAATAGTAGCATAATCTAAGGCATCTATTCCGTCTTCCATCTCAATCAGGTTAGCAGCTCATAAGACCTGAAAGTGAAAGAAAGGAGAAAGCAACGTACTGCATAAGACAATAAACGATCATCAGTTATGCAATGCTTCTAGTATCTCTTAAAAATGTAAGCACAGCTTAGAAATAATCAAACTGGAATTCCAAGATTGAACGAAAATAACATTTTCTTTCTGACCAGAAAATTTGAGGCAAGGCAAGAAGAGTAACAAAAAACCTTTTCACCAGAATGCACAATTTAAGGCTTTGTTTGGGACGATGGTAGGGAGGCATAAGTAATGGAATTGAAAGGAATGTTAGCGGAAGAGATGAAATAGAATGTAAAATATTTTAGTTTCTCCTTAAATATTTTACATTGCCTGGATATGACAGAAAAGAGAAGAAAAACTGGTTATCTGAGAGAGAAATTACGAATACGAAATTTAGCATCCAAATTTCCGATTCCATTAATTGTCCTTCTCCCAAATAAAGCCTAACTAAAGAAAAGAAATAGAAGTAGGAATCAGCAGAGCAATAATAAATCCAAACGCATGAAAATGAACTAAAGGAATCGCAGAGCAAGTAAAACAAGATAAAGAATAGCATCCAACGTGAAAAATGGAAGATATATTCCTGAATTAAAGACCAATCTGGTTTCCAAATCTTGTGCATTCAGTCACCTGTAGACTACAGAAGCTAAAACCACTAGTTTCGAAATCAATTAAGGTGCAATCCGAAGGCAAAACAAAGAATATGAGCTGTTGCTGACACTAAAAAACTCTAAGTTCTCAATGCTGACGAATGAAGAATCAGGTACTGGAAGTTGAGCTGTTAAGCAATTTCAAGTCAGATCAGATCTAGCAAATGTAGAAAGAGCAGCGATGAAAAAATGAAGTAAAGCTACACTAACAATAGAAACTAGA